TATATTTGAAAATGTATAAAATAAAAATATTGATATTTAAAATTTTCAAAATTTTTAATATTTTATTTATATTGATGGTAAGGTTTGGGCCAGGCCTAATTCTATACCAAACCCGGCCCGGCCCGTACTTGAGTGTTTTTTTTTTTTTATTGGGCCGGGCTTGGGCTTAAAAATACTTTTTGGGTTTGGATTTGTTTTAGACAAGCCCAGCCCAACCCGGCCCATTCCGTACCCTAATTGCACCTGATCTTTCTAACCTCCTTAACTCGTTCTCTAGCCAATACCTTTCTTTCTCTGTAAAATGATAAGGTTCTAGGACTGGCTCCTTCACCAAATACATAAGGCCCCTTGAAAACAAAGGAATCCCTTTTTTCAACCACAACATGACCAATTGAGATGGCTTTATTTGCTTCTTCCAATATTTCACACACTCCTGGCTGTGGATCCTTCCTGCTACGTGAACTTTTGACTCCACAAATGCTTCCTTTAAAGAATCCTAAGCATAGTCAACTATCTTTCGGTCGGGTGTTATCTCTATGAAAAAGCAACCCGATATGCTTTTTGAAACTGCACTCACTCGCAAAATATCCTTTACCCTTATATATGTAGCAAACTACTTCACTCCTATATCCTTTGCTTCTATCGAACCTTCTAAACCACTGAGGGGCCAGACGAAAAGATTGCGACTGCATTGGCAGTGGTGAGACGACTCCTAGTACACCTTGTTGCCCTCTCACTTGCACAAACTGTGGGTTCATTTGCAGGTTCTGTGAAGAAAACAGCCCAAAGCCACCAATTGGACTTTGTACACCCAAGTACTGTAGCTGAAAAACCGTTTGTTGAGCATACAACTACACCTGTGCTGTTTGTACTGTAGGGATCCCACCTATTTGCAAGGTCAGTGTCGGCAGCTGGTGCTGATCCATCCGAGTGTAGTGAAAAATTTTTGGTTTTTTGGGTCTTACAAACTGTTGTGCTGCTAACCTAGCATTCTCACGTTTACTCCTAAACAACTCCATTATTAGATCCAACCCATCCACATTTGCCATTTTCGTAGCAACCTCCCAACTATCTTTATCGTCCACTCTTACAACATAGGCCCTTTTCATAGTGACCTGCCTTGCTATACAAATGTAGTTCATATCACCCGAGGCTAATACCTTATCCATTAACACTTCTGCCCTACACCACTCATTGTATTCACACTGATTACGCTGCTTAGTCAACTTCCGCTTGGTCCAAACACTCTTTCGTTCAATGTCATCTATGAGCAGGGTCCCACTTCTGTTCCGTAACTAAGCAGCTTTCTTTTCCACACATAACTGAGTGAAAAATTTTAACCTATTAAGCTTTGTTTGCCATAGGCACCTAGCGAATTTTCTCTCAAAACTGGGCATTGTGCCCTATCACCTGTCTACAAAGCTTCTAGTTCTTCTAATAGTGTATCATTCTGGCTTCTCAAAAGCTGCGGCTGAGCTTCCTTTGCCTTTCTGGTTACACCCACATCCTCAACAAAGTCCTCTGGGCCCAATCTGTTATGACTTTCCTTTATTAACCTGGACACGATCTCCTGTTTTTGGCCTGTTTCCAACAGGCCCATTTCATAACAAACAAATCTTAACACTTCAACTGACAAATGATTAAGATTTTAATCCAAACTCATTTGGGTTATATCTGGAGTTGCTGAATCGTTCAGCACAGTAGACTCTGGCTTCTTGTTCACAGCCGATATTGATCTTGAACAAGTAACTTTATTTTGCATAAAAAACGTCAAAGCGAATATCGCCAAGAAAAAAATTTTGTTTATGATTTAAGTAAGGCTATATAAATTTATATAATTGGTTTTCATATCCTGCTCGCGTCGACAAAGTGAGAATTGAAAATTTTTTTTTTTTTATAGTCAACCAATAAAAATTCGCCATCTGATAATCATGTGATAAAGTAATTCGCTAATTTACGAAGATCAAATTCAATATCAATATGCAAAAAATTATTAATGAGGCTATTCTTTATTTAATTCTATATAATAAACAAATGCTTAGACACTAAACCTCAAAACTGACCAACTGCTAAAAAATTAGTTAATGCACTTCGCCAATTTTTTAAAGATTTAAAGATTTAAAAAAAATAATACTAAGCAAGTTAAAGAAATTAAAGACCCGCGCAAAAATTTAAATCAAGTCTTATCAACACGACTCAACTACATCTTTATTAGAAATACAATATGACCTTTAGCCCATATTATTAATGAAACATTAATGCTTATACATTATCGATATACAAAGTTACACTTACTAATTTAGCAGTTTAACACTAAGAGTTCATATTCGTTTAGAAATGGCTTTCGTCGTGATTTTTTGGTTAGTAAAACGTTGCGTTCTACTTGGGCAATTGATTTACATCTGCTAATCAAACGAATGCCATCATATGTGTATATGTTTGATACATATAGGATAACTTTCTTCTGATTGGTCAATCGCTTTCAATTGTATTTATACAGTTTAAAGTACTTTTTAAGAA